ATTTCAATATAGTTATTCTTAAAATGTGTCATTGTTGCCAACGGGTATAGGATTCTACTCAAAATCATATGCAATCATGCAAATTCACTAGAAACTTCTTCAGCTCAGACTCCAGCGGATCCTCCAGCAGCAACCGGTCCACCGTTGACAGACCCCGATCCAGCTCCGCTGCCGCCGTCCACCTGCTGTCGGAGGCTCCAGCGGGAGCAGAGCTCTGCGCCCGGCATGCAGTGGCTCCTCCTCCGGCCAGGAGCAGAGCTTCGCCCACTGAAAGTCATGTGTTTGTGTAGACCCACCCATCCACCACGACATCATCCTTACGCAGACTTTCTCGCTCCAAATACTGCGTCACCTTCCGACTTCCGGAGCACTGCTCTGAGTGTCTATCGACACAGCGTGAAATAACACTTGAAAAATGTAGCCATAACAGGCAAAATGACAAAATAAACTGTTACTTCTACTGTAAGGCCTTTGGTGAGACCAGACTGGCTGATTGCAGACTTGTTGAATTGGATTGCATTAGATCGTACAGGTATCTGTGATATTGTGTTCACCTTTTGTACATTCATTAGACGTGTGAGGCTATTTTGAGTCTTGTGCTTTGTACTCTGCCTTGCATTTCACTTGTTTCATCATGTATTACAGCACTTCACTTTGTCATGTGAATGACTATGATTAGACAGATCTAGATAGGTTTCTTCTCGCCTTCTGCCGGTGAAGTCCTCTGAGACACACTTGTGATGAAAGGCTCTATAAATAAATAAGCTTGAAGTTAATGTGATTCTCATCTCACAATCCCTGTGTCCACATGGAACGGATCTACCTTAACACGTCTGCTTATTTAAAAGTACAAATATTCAAAGCACTTCAGTGCGGAGGCGAAAGAAGGATTCTTTTAATCAGATTTTGTTCCCCTTCAGCTGTTGGCAGACTAGTAATATTACTTGAAGCCACTCAAGTTTTTTGATACGGTACAGGTGATAAAACGGAGACTGGTAGGACAATTTTGAGTAAATATTGTATGTGTGATGATAAATTAGAAGAATAGGTTTTGCATTTACTGATCAGAAAGAAGGGTTTCTGTTATGTCACATTATGAATAATAGAACTGCAGAGAAGTTGTTAAGATGCATCATATATTATGGTTACTTTTGGGTGGTTACTATATATGTACAATAGGCCATGTCTGTGTGTTCATGTGTAGATTACTATGGGTGTATTGGTGAATTCATGTACCAAATGTTACAGTATTATGTAATACAGTCCTCTGGTATATTCAAGTGAACTGCTATGTTGGATTTCATAATGCTAGAACTTAAGAAATACCTCAAATAATCACAAAGAAAATGAAAAGTAGCCCCACACACCTGGCACCAAAGTGACTTTATATAGATTTCAAGGGTATAAAGATTTATTTTGAACCTCAAATTAATTGACTTTTCGAAGGCTCATTTAATTGAAAGTGATCCTGCATCTCGGGGAAAATTTCCATTTTCTTGTTGGTCCCCCTGCCCACGGACAGTTTGGAGCAAAGGGTCAGCCTCCCACACCATGTGAAGGCTGGATTTGTGTTGACCGTTTCTACCATTTATTGGGGGGATTGTGAGACAATCAGTCAGCCTTTTGAAACCGGTAGTGATTCAGTGTCTTTTCACTGCCTCAGTGGGGACAACATTCTCTATCATTTCTAGCATCACTCCAGGAGAGGTTATCTCAATTGTTATCTCAATCATATACTTAGCTTTTCTGCATTGTCAAGGACTAATCCTTACATGTCGTGCGTGGTTTGTTGATTAATAGCTGTTGTCTCCACAGCTGAGGAACCTCCAGTGGTAGTGTCTTTGTCTCTGACACCTTACAGTGATGACTACAAGACAACCTCTCACACACTGTAATTAATCAGCCCACAAGAAGAGCATTCGTTCAGACGCAACGTGACAGCTGCTTGGCCGGGTGGATCACTCAGTGCGAGGTTAGCAGGTCCCTAATACCGACCTCAAAGTGTCCCTGCGGCTGGCTCCAATTCAAAAGAAATCTATAGAAGTTGCACCTGCAGGTGTTTATGGCTTGTCAATTAAATGTGTACACAGCTTTGAGGTTGTCTTCATGACCACATCCAGTGACTGTATTCGCAAGGACAGGCTTTTTTTTCTGTCCTGCCCTTTGAACAGAGAAGAGGGTCATAAATAACATGAACAAAGTGAGCTATACTCACCAATGACACTTGTACATCATCACACTGTTAGTTAGTAAACAAGCTGAATTGACCCTTCAATATGACTATCTGGTGATTTAGCCGAGATATGATTTTCTCATTATAATTGAAATGCACTTTAATTGTATTCATCTCTACACAGTGCATAGTTTGCAGTATGAGAAGCATCTCGCAGGCCATTTGAAGTCAGTGGAAGGCATTAACTCAACATTTGATAAAAGTAATTAAATGTTTCTCAGATATTAATGAAATATTTCTCTAGCTCACATTTCAAAAGTATATTTTAGGTGATCTGAAAGTGTACATATGGTCCACAAATACCTGCTGTGTGAGAAAAGTTGAAGATATAGCTGGCGAGATATCTAATGCATCATAATACTTATACTTTATGCTAGAATGCAGATATTTTCCTGATGAATCGTTTGGCCGATGCAAATGTTCTCCGTCACAATATTCTAAAACAAAATGATTAGTTGATTGATCCATTTGTCAGTCCACATAAAATGAATTACCAATTCTTTGGATAATCGATTAATTGCTGAAGAGAATTTTCTCCCTTCCTAAATGTGAGTAATTCTCTGTTTTATTTTTTTTATTTTGTTTGTGTTTTGAACTGTTGGTCAGAAAAAAGGGCTTTGACACAGAGCGATGGACATGTATGACTATCTGACGCTCTGACCGAGCGATTAATCAATTAAACAAGACAATTACTGGCAGAAAATAATTGATAATGAAAATATTTATCAGACCAGGCTGACGTCTTCAAATTGTTTGCTTTGTGCAACTAACAGTCCAAAATCCAAAGATATTCAATTTAAATAGACAAAAGCAGAAATTCCTCACAATTGAGAAATGTTTAACTGAGATAAATGACTTACTTAATTCTATCTAAACATTTAATCAATCACAAAACAAAGTGTCGGATTACTTTTCTGTCAATTTCCTGATCAATTAATTGTCAGTTTTCCATCTCTAGCAGACTAAGATAACTGTAAATTACAGCAGTCAGTATTTTACAATGGACTTTCAGTAAAAGACAGTTTGTACCATCAACTGTACCTGCAGGGCACACAATCCTAGAAATAGTTTATTGACTTTCAATAGAATCTCGTGGGTAAAATGAGATTAAATGAGCAAGAAAGCGAGAACACCCTTTCTCATCATATCAATGCTATAGCAAATAGAAAAACCCTTCATATCGCAAACTAAAGAAAATACCTTTTTGCACTCTGTCTGGCAGGCCTGTCAGCTACGATGAATGGGCAGCATGCTCCTGCATTGATCATCTCACAGCCATAAATGGCTGCTGCTGAGCAGACGGGACAGGGGAGGTGGTCAGTCATTAGATCTGGATATATGGAGGAAAGTATATGAATGAGGTCACTCTGATGCTCTTTGACTGACAATTATTGATGCCGAAGCATATTTTTCCAGTGAAGCCATAGATATGCGCTGGAGTTGAAAACAATCAGGTTTAAAGCTTTTTTTAAATTTTAAATGGTAACATATTCTCGCCTGATTTATTTTATTCTGTCTCTCGTTGGGTGTATAAAAGTCAGCCAGAAAGACGATGACTCAGTTGCATTTTGCTCTGAAAAGGCAGTTGATATTACTGCAAACAAAGATGTTTCTTAGTGTTTTTTCTCTCCTTTTCACAATTAAAAAAAATGCTGTAGTCATCCATTATAAATATGAGAAATTAAGTGTCATAATAATGCTGCTTATTCCCTTAAAAATGTATTATATTGATGTCGCATGTATTTTTTACCATCATCAAATATAATACTTTCACTCTGGCAGCCTGCTGTGTTGGAGCTGTCTGGCAGATTGGATAACAAAGGCTGTTATTAGCAAATAATGATCTGGCAAAGATGATACTGGAAATTACTGTCAAAACACAATCCAGAGTTTTGGTAAAAACATTGTAAAATATGTGGCATTCATACTGCAGTTTCCATGTATTTAAGGGTTCCTCAGTTACAGAAAAATTCAAGACGTCCATAAATGAATACAATTATTTTATGTTCTTAAAGAGTAGGACGGCTTGCAAGAAATGAGAACTCAACAAGTATCAGAGGCTCAGAAAATAAAAATAAAGAAACAGCTGATGCAGAATCCAAAGGCTCTGCTGCAGCAAACACATCACATATACACTCCTGCAGATGTGAGAATCAGTGCATGGTATATTGAGAGTGAACATGGGCAAAACCTTCTTATGAATGGTTTGCTTTTCTTTTACATTTCTTTTCTTTTTGCTGTGCCGTTTAATGAGCCTCCATTTGGCTGCAGGAATACTATATGCAAATAGGCCTAAATTGAAAAACCAACATTCAACATGCAATAATCGCATCTTACCAGAAAAAAGGCTTATACAGATAAAAACCAATACAAACTTGCCTCAAAAATTATTCATGATCTAGATTTGATTAACAGATATTAAATGACTTTGTCTCGCCAGGTTAAAGTGCTGCATGCCTTCACTTTGTGCCCTTTGAGCAGGTCTGCAGTAATTAGGTACAGTTCACTGCACTGGTCTAATTACAGCAGCGTGTGAGATGAGGGCAGCCTCTTCTCTGCATCCTGCATCCTCCTCATAGTGAGCTGGACCACAGCCAGACCTATAACGTAACCCCACCGCACCTTGATTCCTCGTACAGATCCCGTTGTCTCTATCTCGTGGCTTGATACAGTATTGCAGCAAGAAATCTAGTCCATGTTTGTGGGGAAAGATCTCATCGCAAAAACTCCAAAGGTGTGTTCTATCGTGCTTGACACTGTGAAAGAACAAGATTCAGCTGGATCTGTCTAACTGCTCCAGGAAAGAACATCAAATGAGCAGTTTAAGGTCGGTGTGGGGCAAATAAGTCGCTGTTCAGACAGAAATAGGTTATAACACTTTGTGTCCTGGTCTATGGAAATAGTCCGGTCAGATGCACTTTCACAGTGAATCAGTGCGCAGCAGGGACGCGTGCAGCACGGAGGCTGCCAGTCCTCACCATCCCTCCCATTGGCTGCAGCAGGATGCTCCGTGTCTTTCCCGTTTCCTTGATCCTCACATGCAACCGGAGCCGACGGAGGTTCGCAATGGAACGAGAGGGGGAATCTTCACCTGTAGATATTTTACATTAAACTGTGTTTCACCACCCCCAAGAAAAAAAAAACACACACGGCACATTTGAAGTAAATGCTCCGCGCTTTGGATATTGCATCGCTGTCCAGTCGCTGGAAATAACTTCATTATTCCAGTTTTTTTTTTTTTTTTTTTGCGGGCGACTGTCGCTCTGTCCTCCGGTTTGACGGTATACTGCAGGCTGTATGGAGGGATGTTGGCATGGCTTGCACCAGGAGAACAAAAACTTTGGTGTCCACATGCGTGATACTGAGCGGCATGACGAACATTGTTTGCCTGCTCTATGTCGGATGGGTCACTAATTACATCGCCAATATTTACATCAAAGTTCCGATGCCTTTACCGGAGAGAAAGTTAGAGGGTGACAAAAGAGGCGACACTCTCCGGATCATTGAGAGGCTTGATCGACTGGAGAATGTGGTCAACCAGCACATTCAAGGTAAAGCCTCTATCATTTTAACTCGCTGTATTTCCTACATTGCTCCACCTGCCCCCAAACCACCTGGGCTCCATCAAAAGAAAGTAATAGTCGAATAGCTTTAGTTTTAGAGTGCAGTCACGATGTTTGCATCCTCTGTTTTTGGAAATTGATACAGTAGGAACTTCTTTTGTCTGTTAAAGATCGGTTATTCGGAGGGTGTGATAGAGGGCAAGCGACTAGAAAAGCTGCACGGTCCCCATGAAAAGGATTAGTGAGCCAACATATTTAAGAAGGGCTCTACACAAGAGCTGAATAATTAGTTATAAGTAGGTTGCAATATAAGAATGTTTAATTATTATTACACAAATTAGATAAAGTCTTACTGTTGGGTGCAATTTAAAGTGTACAACATTGCTCATGGTTATTTACATCACATATCGCATTCATTTCTACTTAAATACATCTTGGACTGCACTCCACCTGTGTGACACAACATAATGCATCCTTACTGGGAGCCAGAATCCAATAAAGTGCTGGCAGTAGAAACATTCTGCATTAAAATGCAGGTACAACACAGTGTGATTAAGACTGGATCATTTTACACTTGATATTTTATCAAAGTTAATTTGGAATATTTCTGAAACTCTGCGTCTTCCACGTTATTTAATTAAAACGTGTTCCTTACTTTTAGGAATGTCTGGAATCCGTTTTCTCAAATTCCCTCAAGCCTCTCCTCCACTCCTGGTGTACAGTTTCTTTACACTTGATCTCACACACAGTTAATTTGTCTCCCCTCTGTGTCTTTAAAAGAACAATTCTTGTCATCACAGGGGGGCTCATTTTGGGCAGGTCCCAATCTGAAATGGCACAGAGCTGGAGTGGTGCAGAAGTGAAATGCAGACAGAAATCTACTCATGCTGCTTTGAGCAATAAGGGCTCTGTGCTAAACTCGGGTAAACATTCCTCCTGGAGGCAGGTCTCCATTTCAGCTCGGCACCCATAGGCATCTGCAGGGCGGAGCTTAGTTCAGGTGACTTACCACCAAACTTCATGTTTCAACTTTTTCTATTACTCTGAGAGGAAAGATCATTTCATGTTAGATTTGTGCTTAAAAAACAGCAGCATGGTCTCGGGGGGGGGGGGGAGACATTTCAACAGCGATGTCTCACTTTAGAAAGCCTTCATCTAACAGTAAAGATAATTATAAAAAAAGATTACTTTAAAAAAAACCTAACCCTGCCTGTAGCACCTCTAAAGCTCACGAGTTAACATGTGAGATCTCGGAAATGACTGCACCTGGCAAAGAAATAGTCCCACACATAACTCCCTGTCAAACCTCAACTTGTCTTTTTTACACTTTGATTTTGTACAGGTTTAACAAATAAGATATAAGATGTTAATTTGTGCATTTTTAAATGTGAATATTTTACCTTTGGAGAGAGCCAGGCTAGCTGCTTCCCCCTGTTTCCAGTCTCTATGCTAAGCTAACTGGCTGCCGGCTGTAGTTTCATATCTATCGTAAAGACATGAGTGGCATCAATCTGCTCATCTGTCTATTCCCCAAATGTTAAAGTCATCCTTTAAGAACTAGCCGTGGCTCATTGTCTTTTTATGCCACTTTTAAAACTAGGACAGTCAGTCAGCAGTTAGTTGTTTATTTTAAGTCATGCATATTAAACTTTCACTTGTTTCCACTTCTCTAGCAGTATGAGTTCATGCACAGTCAGCCATCATTATTTTTGGCTGCTTTGGGTATTTGTACGATAAATACAAGAAGTTGTCCATGCTTAAAAGTTTGGGAACGCGGTGTCATTGATGACAACAGAAGCTGCTAATGCTGGAGGAGACAGTTGATGTCATATTGGTGCACATTTGCAACAACAAAAACTTTTCCAGCAAAATGAGCATTTTTTTGATCATTTTAAGTACGAGCCATATTGTCTGGATTTCGCTGATAATTACTCTGACTGCATCCGCTGCAAATAGAGAGCCATAATCTGAGTGTATAAGTGGCCGACGGCGTCAACAGTCAGGGAGCTTCGGGCAGAGCCAGAGAGTCATTAGTATACTTACAACATCTCTAAAAATGCATCTTCCTCCTATATCACGCTGTGACACAAGTACAGAAATTGTATATCCTGGCTCTTGCATTCTGTAGCTCAGCACTGTGACTTGCACACTTACTGTAGTGCACTATTCACTCAACCACATGCACTTAGTTTTAGTGCACTATAAGACAGATATGAGCTCCCACACCACAGAGCAATACTGCATGTGAGAATGAAACATTTGCTGCTGCTGAGTCACTGTGGACAGTCAGAAGAGATGTCTCTGGTGTCACTCGGGGATGAGACAGAAATAGAAATATTCTTTTCTAACTGTATGATAGGTCTAGTTAAGTGGCCTGTTACCGGGACAAAGCAACGTGGCAACAGCCCATAAACCGACTGAGCTCTTTGTTGTATTAAGTACAGTCAGCCCAGGATAATTTATTGGAAAGTGGGACTGAGCAGGTTCACACACGCCCACCGTGAGGGCTGTTTGCTGTGCTCTTTGCATGCTATGTGACTGTCTATAAAAGACCTCCTCATACTTCAAAATGATCATTAGAGTTCTTTGTGTTTGCATACTTGTTGCATATACAGTAAAATAAGCACTTATATGTCTTAAACTCAGTTACAGCTGTGCAAATATTTGCATACTTTTGGATATTTATATTTCCTTATCAATGTATATATTATCTGTGTTTATTTTCTTATTCTTCTTCTGATATTTATTGGGTGTGTATTTGTTGACCTGGATGATGAGCTGTGGCATAATTCCCCTTGCAGGCATACATAACGTAGTAGTGAATAGAAGTGGACAGAGCTGCAACTAACAATTATTTAAATTAATTAAGACCATTGTTTTGATAAACCCTTTAGTCGATCAAACTTTAAAAAGAAGATATTACATTAAAAATGACTCGGAGCCAACTGTGGTGTCTTCTAATTTGTTTATTTTTTACTTGTTTATTTTTTCTGACTCACAGTCCAAAACCGGAAGATATTGTATTTACTGTCAAATGGGAAAAGAAAAACGGCACATCGTCCACATTTTAGAATTCCCAACCAAAATATGTGTGGCACCTTTCCTTGAAAAATGACTCAAACAAGGAATAAATTATTGAAATAGTCACTGATTCCTTTTCTTTCAATCAACTAATCGATTAATCAACAAATCATTGCAGCAGTAAGAATTTAAATGACTAGAGCCGGTGCCTCAGTTGAATAGTTTGTGTCCTTTCACGGTGGTCAGATTGAGTGTACAATATGTGTATGGATGTTATATGGTGTGACAGACATGCTGTTTTATGAGGATGTTGTTTATGAAAATGCAGCGTATCTCATTGCTTGCTTCGACCTCTGAGGATGTGTCAGCATGAAGTCTGATTGGATGGCCACGAGGCCTGCGAGAGACAATCATTAACACAGTGCTGATTTAGCGGCATATTATAGCCACAGCTCCCAAGATGACTTCGAGCTAATCCACCTGTCAAGTCAATTGAGAAGCTCAGCAAATCAGCGTTTCCGTTGATGCTCATGAGGACAGTTACATTGTGATATTTATCTGATGTGATTTTCCAGAGCGACAATGAGTGCAGCTGTAGAATCAACGAGTGAACTTTGAAAGCAGTATAGACGTGTGCAGATGTTTGTGTGCATGCTTGTGCGTGCAGGCTGTGGTATGCAGCTTGGGGAAGTACAAGTTACACTCCAGTTTCTGTGAAAGTGCTCAGTCATTTGGGAGAAAGAACAGTTAAAAGACTCTTTAGATACAGTTTTAGATGAAGGCAACCTTGTTTCTTACAAAGTAAATACCCATTTTTCTAATATTATTTCCCCCCTTACTATATATTAAGATGTCTAAATGAAGGTATTAAAATATATCATATTCAAATTTATCATGGCATAATCAGTATGCAATTACGGCAGTATATCACCATTACTTCTTCTGCAACACATTTTCATTTGGCAGCTCAGGAGCTTGTTTTCTTAATTTTCTTACAGATGCAGCATGATTATATATGTATTTATAGGTGATGATGATTATTTTGTAATTGAGTATTCTGTAAGCCTGTTCATGGGTTACGTTGACAGGTGATATTTACGCCACAGTAAAAAAGGAATTAGGGATGCCCTTCTCATAGTAGTTCATTGATTGGGTCTTACCTCTATAGTGGCACAGCATAATCAGTCAGAAAGACTCTAGTGGTCGTCAGCGTAATCTGGTTGGCTAATTAAGGTGAATGAGGGGCAGGTGTGCTGGCAGGTGATTGGGGAACGGCGGGAGCAGCTGAGGACTACTGCTGTGTGCAGAGGGAAGGTGGTCTCTGAAGGCAAAAACACGAAGTTGCCAGGCAATAATCTCCAGGATATATATCTTATACACTCAGTCCACTGTAATTGTTACACTCCAAACTGCTCAGTCATAAATTATACCTTTTATAAAAATAATATTGTTCAGTTTTCATTGACAATGTCAGAGAGGTTTTCATTTAACATCCATTTTTATTGTCCAGGTTGGAGTTGGCAGTGGTGTTGAAGTATACTGCATTATTTACAAAAATCTGAATATTAGAAACGCATTTCACAATAATGTCCAGTGCAACTAACAACACTAACTATGACAACGTTAACATAGAACTTAGACTGCTCTCTTTTGTGATAAATTAGCTTACAGGCTGTGTATTACAGGTGTCGAACAGTACAGGATTTTTGAGGACAATACCAATATTGATTTGAGCGTTAAACAATGCAACAAGTCAACAGCCTTGCTAGCGGCTCTGTGAGGCTGCAGGTAAAGCAGTGCTTTGAGCTAAATGCTACTGTCAGCCGGCTAACATGCTCACAACATCAATGCTAACACGCTAATGTTTAGGACGCACATGCATATGGGGTTGATGCAGGTGAAGCATTAAACAATCCTACTGATGATTTTCCACTTTTCCACCGATCAACAGTTGGTGGTAACGTATG